CACCACTGGGCAGGTCTGTCAGACAGAAAATTAACAGAGAAATAAGGGAACTAACAGATGTTATGACTTAAATGGACATAAAAGACATCTATAGAACATTCCATCCAAACATAAAGGAATATACCTTCTTCTCAGCAACTCATGGAACCTTCTCAAAAAGTGATTACATACTAGGTAACAAAGCAAACCTTCACAAATACAAAAAAATGGAATAGCCCCATGTATCTTATCAGATCACCATGGCTTAAAATTAGAATTCAACAGCAACACTATTTTCATAAAGCCCACAAACACATGGAAATTAAATAATGCTCATCATCAATGGGCCAAGAAAGAAATAAAGGAAGAAATTAAACAGTTCCTAAAATTCAGTGAAAATGGCTACACAATATACCCAAATTTATGGGACACAATGAAAGCAGTATTAAGAGAAAAGATTATAGCACCAATTGCTTACATAAAGAAGCTTTAAAAATCTCACACTAGTGAGTTAGCAGAACATCTGAAAACTCTAGAGAAAAAAAAAAGCAAACTCACCCAGAATGACTAGATGGCAGGAAATAATCAAATTGAGAGCTGAAATCAACAAAATAGAAACAAAGAAAACAATACTAAGAATGAGATAGAGAGTTGATTCTTCGAAAAAAATCAACAAATTAGACAAACCTTTATCCAAACTAACCAAAAGGCATAGACAGAACATCTAAATTAACAAAATCAGAAATGAAAAGGGGGAAATAACAACAGACATGGAGGAAATCCAGAGAGTCATCAGGTCATACTTTAAAACCTGTACTCCACAAAACTGGAAAACTTACAGGAATTGGACAATTTTCTGGATAAATACCACTTACCAAAATTAAAATCAAGATCACATAAGCAAATTAAATAGAATTATAACTGCTAAAGAAGCAAAAACAGTCATCAAAAGTCTCCCAACTGAAAAAAGCCCAGGATCACGTGGTTTCAGCACAGAATGCTACAAAATTTTCAAAGAACCAATACCAATGCTCCTCAAATTGTTCCACACAATAGAAATAGAAGAAACATTGCCAAACTCTTTTCATGAGGCTACAATTACCCTGATACCCAAACCAGAGACATTACTAAGAAAGAGAATTAAATACCAATCTCACTTATGAACATTGATGCAAAAATACTCAAGAAAATACTGTCAAATCAAATCCAAGAAGACATCAGAAAAATCGTCCACCATGACCACGTTGGCTTCATGCTAGAGATGCAGGGATGGTTCAACATACGAAAATCTGTCAATGTAATCCACCATATAAACAAACTGAAAAAAAAGCACATGATCATCTCATTAGATGCTTAAAAAGGCTTTGATGAAATGCATTTCTTCATGATAAAGGTATTGGAGATATCATGGGATACAAGGAACATACCTACATATAATAAAGGCAATGTATAGCAAGCTAACAGAGCCATCATCAAACTAAATGGAGAGAAACTCAAAGTGATCCCACTGAAATCAGAAACAAGACAAAGTTTCTCACTCTCTCCATATCTATTCAATATAGTTCTTGAGGTTCTAGCTAGAGCAAAAGATAACAAAGGAGATCAAGGGGATATAAATCATAAAAAGAGGTCAAAGTCTCACTATTTGCTAATGATATAATAGTCTACATGAGTAGCCCTGAAAATTCTACCAAGGAACTTCTACAACTCATAAACAGGTTTAACTAAAAAACAAACAAACAAACAAAAAAAAACAATAGTTCTCCTGTACTCAGATGATAAAAGGGCTGAGAAAGAAATCAGAGAAACATCTCCTTCACAATAACCACAAGTAACATAAAATATCTTGGGTAACACTACCCAAACAAGTGGAGGACCTGTATGACAAGAGCTTCAAATCTTTGAAGAAAGAAATGGAAGAAGGCACCAGAAAAAGGAAAGATCTCCCATGCTCTCTTGGGTAGGTAGACTTAACATGGTAAAAATGGCAATCTTAACAAAAGCAATCTACAGATTCAGTGCAATGCTCATCAAAATCCCGGCAAAATTCTTCACAGTCCTCAATAGAACAATACCTAACTTCATATGGAAAAACAAAAAACTCAGGACAGTTAAAAAATCCTATAAAATAAAGGAACTTCTGAAGGCATCACAATTCCTGATTTCAAACTCTACTACAGAGCTACAGTACTGAAAACAGTCTGGTACTGGCATAAAAACAGACAAGAGGACCAATGGAACCAAATCGAAGGCCCAGATATCAATCCGTCCCCCTACAAATACCTGATTTTTAACAAGGAAGCAAAAAATATAAAATGGAAAAAAGAAAGCATATTCAACAAATGGTGCTGGCATAACTGGCTATCAACACATAGAAAAATGAAAACAGATCTATATCTATCATCATGCACAAAACTCAAGTCCAAATAGATCAAAGACCTCAACATAAAACCAACCACACTGAATCTCATAGAAAAGAACGTGGTAAGTGCACTTGAATGCATTGGCACAGGAGAACACTTCCTAAATATAACTCCATTAGCACAGACACTGAGAGAAACAATTAATAAATGAGATCTCCTGAAACCCAGAAGCTTCTGTAAAGCAAAGGACATGGTCAACAAGACAAAAATGGCAGTCTACAGAATGGGAAAGATCTTCACCAACCCCATATCAGACAGAGTGCTGATCTCCAAAATATACAAAGAACTCAAGAAATTGGTCACCAAAAGAACAAATAATCCTATAAAAAAGATGGAGTACAGACCTAAACAGAGAACTCTCAACAGAGAATCTAAAATGGCTGAAAGACACTTAATGTTCAACATCCTGAGTCATCAGATAAATGCAAATCCAAACAACTTTGAGATTCCATCTTATACCTGTAAGAATGGCCAAGATCAAAAACACTGATGACAACTTATGCTGGAGAGGATGTGGGAATGCAAGCTGGAACAACCCCTTTGGATGTCAGTGTGGCGATTTCTCAGCAATTCTAAATTAGATAGTGTGAGAAAAGCCACAGCTACAGAAGAAACTGCTCTAAATAGAAATAAACAACCAACAACACCTGAGAAAAATGGAAAAAGACTTTTTAATAACTGGGAATTACATATAATAAAACAAGAGATTAGAGTAGTGATGCATTTAATGAAAATCAAATTTAAAAAATGAAACTAAGAATTGACATTTTAAAAAGATAAATATAATTGAAAACACATAGATATCCTGGCTTTGAAAAAGAGCAGGTCATTCCCTGGTAGAGGACTGGCATTAATAAAATACTGTTTGACCTTGTCCAATATGTGCAATGTTAGCTGTTGAGATCTGTAACCTGACACACACAGTTACATCAATGACCTGTGTCTTAACTCTCTGAGCTGACTTAACTGTGCTGAACAGGGCTGAAAATATCTGCAAAGGAGAGTCCCCTATTTGGAAATTCAGTATTCATTGGCTCAAGCTAACTGCCCCCCAAATTGTGCACCCACCAATCTGGCCTGCCTTCATTCACATGACATGAACTAATACATGATGAGAAATTACAATATCACTATCTCTGCCACAATCAGATCCTATTTAATAATGGTAACTACAGCAGCTGATATTTTAACCTATTTATCCCTCCAGTGCACACAAGAAATTATTTCTCCTATTCCATACCTCTTACTGCAATGGATAGTTGACTACATGACTCAAAGGGTGAATTTTAAAACAGTGATGGTACAGCCTTTAATTTAAGAATTTAGTTGGTTTAATCAAGAGGATGGCAAGGTCATTGCCCTGGGAAGCAACACACTGGTGTCAAGGCCACCTGAGCCAACGTAAGAGAGCTTGTCTCAGAAACATTTTCTTAATGGCTGGAGGTACAGCTATTCTAGAATTAATATCTCTTCCCAGGAAGAAACCATTCCATATACATAAGTAATTAATAAACAACAATCTCTTTGATACAGTGTGCATCCATCTCTGGCTAATGCTAAAAAAAGAGGAGCCCCTAGAACAGATGCCATTACAGTAACAAGAAAAAGATTTGTGTGTGGAGCATTTCCTTATATCTTCTGCCTTGGTCTCAGGCTTGGAGGGAGGGCGGGCACACTAGGGGGCCACAGTGGGGCAAGTTGATTCCGGGGGCAGGAGCTGGGCACTCAGACATCCATTCTACAGGTTTGGGTATGGTGGGGGTGTGGAGAGCGCCAAGGGACTGTGTCCCAGTTGGTGGTGTGTAGTCACTACGCTTAGTCTCATCCATGCCTGTTCTCAGCCCTGTGGTGCGCACCGATATCGTTGCCGGTTTAGTGGTTCTACGACCCAGAGTTCAGGGAGATCCACCGTGTGGTGCCTGGCGTGTAGGACCATGCAGCCGCCCTGTGGTTTGGAGCAGAGGCCCCGCGATGTCCCTGCCACTGTGAACCCTTTGGCCTGAGCCAACCTGCTCAGCCCAGATAGGCTCAGTATCTGGTAAGCTCCACTCCACTGGAGGCCACCGGTCAAGCAGCAAGAGGGCGCAGGAAAAGCCTCCCCGCCCTCCGGCGTGACACCGGGCTCAGCATAGTGATTTGCGCCAAATTCAACAGCCTCTCTCTCTCTCTCTCTCTCTCTCTCTCTCTCTCTCTCTCTCTCTCTCTCTCTCTCTCTCTCTCTCTCTCTCTCTCTTCTTGACATGATTTATTTTAATAAAAAATTCAGCTGAGTATGTATCACAGACTACATGAAACTATACACAACGACATTCTTACGGCGTAGTAACCAACTTTGGTGTGTTTTTGAATTTTAAAATCGATTTTTTAAAAATAATCCTTTCAAGTGCAATTCAAACGTTTAAGCAAATCACAGAATGAAAGATTTCTAACAATTTAGTAACAAATCACCGGGCAATCTTTAGATTAGAAGCCAGGGCTGGGAATCACTGAGCCGGGTCCCTTCAGCTCACATGATCCTGTCATCCAAGCCCCACTAGCCAATCATAGCCTCCAGGTGACCTGCCAATCAGATGGGAGGGTTCTTCCCAGGAGCCAGGCTTCTGGCTGAACTCTTTTGATGAGGAAGTCGGAAGCTGTCGATTGTGCTGCACCTTGAGCTCCGTTGTGGAGAGAGCGGGGTCAGCTCCCCAGTTTCACCATGGTGAGCGAGGGGCTGCTCTCCACAGATGGGGAGGAGTTGCTGGCCCTGGTGAGCCAGGGTTTGCTGCCCCAGTACGGGAAGGTGTTTCTGGTCTCGGTGAGTGAGGGGCCGCTGTCCTCAGACTGGGTGGAGCGGCAGGCTGAGCCTGGGAAGCCGGTGTGGTGGGTCCTCTCCTGGCTGGGTGGGAGCTAGTGGCCAGACACAGTGTTCAGCATGTTTCTGCCTGGTCTTACGTGGTCCTGGGTGGTGCTTGCAACTCCCTGGGCCGTGGGGACTGCCTCTTAATAATTTCGCTCCCCGGGCTGCGTCAGCGCAGGGCTTTGGGAGCGGAACTGTGCTTAGAAATATTCTTGTTGACATCACTGTGGAATGCTGGTGCCTGTAGTGCTTATATTGTCACATGTGGAGAGACATCCCCAGATTTGCCAAACTCGAAGAACCCTGGTCTCTCTAGTATCTTCCAGAAGTTCTACACTTCTAACATTTAACATTTAGGTTTAGGATCAGTCTGGAGTTAATTTTGTGGAGCTTGTAAAGGGTATCTCCTGTGTAGAGTAGTGTTCACTGTTAAATGGTGATGTAGAAGAGTAGAATTGATGGTTATAGAATTGATGGTATAAGGATTTACCAATGTTTAGGAGACATAAAGTCATACAAAGCAGAATTTAGGTAAGGTAGGGCTGCATCCCAAACATCCCAAAGATAAATAGTATGCTAGCCATACCTATTAGAGATTAGTATGATAAGATGTAAATGTTTGTTCACCATTAGTTTCCAATTAACGGACTCTCCTATGCAGATTCCAATTCCAGTTTCCAATTAACGGACTCTCCTATGCAGATTCCAATTCCAGTTTCCAATTAACGGACTCTCCTATGCAGATATGTGCAATTCTGGTTGAAACAGTTAAGTCAACTCAGAAGTCTGAGACACAGGCTATTGTCTGTAACTCCATGTGTCAGCTTACAGCACTCAGTGGCTAACATTTTACATGCAACAAAGTCGTACAGCCTCTTACTAGTGGCATTCTCGCTACCAGGGAAGTGCCTACTCTGTTTCAAAGCCAATATAGCTAAGTGTTCTTCCAATTATTTTTATCATTTTAAAAAGTCAATTATTGGTATCATTTTAAAATTTCATTTTCTTTAAATGCATTACTTCTCTTATCTCTATTTGTTTCTATTTTTCAACATTTCCAGTTTAAAAATTTCATTCCATTTTTCCTATCATCTATCTATCTATCTATCTATCTATCTATCTATCTATCTATCTATCTATCATCAGTTTAGATCAGTGGTTCTCAACCTGGGGGGGCATGGCTCCTTTTTGGGGCTCAGATGACCCTGTCACACCTAAGACCACCAAAAAACACAGATATTTATGTTGCAATTCATAATAGCAAAATTATACTTATGAAGTAGGAGTAAAAGTAATTGTATAGTTGGGGGTCACCACATCACCAGGAACTGTATTAAAGAGTCACAGCATTAGGAAGGTTGAGGACCTCTGGTTTAGATCAGTGTCTCCCATAGTTCATGCTTGCCTCATGCTATATTATTGATAATTGCTTTGAATACCTAATCTTGCCTCTGCTGCTCAGTGCTGGGAAGACAGTCCTGAAACTCCTTCCAGGCTGGGTCTTGGTTGGTCTGTGGGAAGGAAAAATAGATGAATATCCCTCAGCTTCTCTCAATTTTATTGTGAATTTACAAATGAAGTGGGACCTGTGTAACAACTGAATTCACTGGCCAACTGTAAAGCAGGTGCAGTCACAACACAGAAAGGGACGGGCCAGAAGTAGGGTGAAAACTTTCCTGCTGTGACAGTAGTTGACATTATTAATGAGCAGTGAGGCAATAAATTGTAGATGCTCAATAAATATTCTGACTGGCCGTTTCTTGGGTCCACAGATAAGCCAATCAAGAATCTGGATAAAAAACTGGACTTACCATGAAACCAATTACTGTAGCTACACCAGTTCAACCTAAATAGAAAAAGTCAATAAAATGGTGTGGCCCTGCCATGACTGTGTTTTCCGGGCTTAAGATGTATACCCTGAGAGAAATGGCGCGTGTAGGACTTGGTGTGCTCTAATACAATCCCTACTCTCTGTAGCATGTGGACATGAATCCTGTTCCAACTTTTCCAAATAGTGTTCAGAATTATAATTACATTATTTCCACCATCTCTTTCCTGCCTCAACGCCCTCCCATCGACCCTTCATTGTGTTCTAATCCATGGCCTCTTTTTGTTTAGCAACAGTTACTGTTTGACTGTGACCTGTGTTTGGCTGCAGAACTTCCCAGTTATGAAGCAAAGGGTTGGCTATACTGGGCATTGAGTGTGTAATGGAATGTGTACACACATAGGACCCTATGCCTTGGGAGAGGAACCAGAAGTACCCTGGGAGAATGGAGGATTTTATTAAACTACAAATTTCCCAGATTAGGGCCCTGTCTGACTTTAGCATAGAAGAGTATAGCGGAGATGGCCTGCGAGGTCTGAGTTATTTGATCTCTGCTCAGTAGGGTAACTGCTAATATCCTGAATCCAGACTGGTGGCCCAAGCTAATTGGATACTCTGGGAAGACTTAGCAATCAGGGGCATCAGTGAGAGGTAGCTTACAGGTTTATTCCAGGATTCTCCTCTTGTTCTGCTGTAGGGAGCTGTAAGGAAGGCCACAAGCTATGCCATGGTGAATGGGGGGGGGGCACTGTCCCCAGACCAGGAATAAAAGGTTGGCTGAGCAGTCAGAGCTGCTTGGACTGTGATGGACCATGAGCCAGACTGAGGTTCTTTTGATCTGTGTGGTGACCTGGGCAGTGGTCCTTGGCCTGTGAGCTTTGTTGAGTGTGGATTCCTTGGGGATGGGTAGGCTCTGACACCCTAAAATTGGAGACTGTGATGCCTGGTAATACCATTGTCCAGTGTGCCATATAGGCCTTGCTCCTGTTTTGCAGGGGAAGACAGTTTGGAAAACTGAAGGCCTAATTTCTATAAGTCCTGAATGTTACATTCCACTTTCAGGTTTGTCTTACAAATGTTACAGATGGTTTAGAAACTGGTAGAAAGGAGGTGATGGGCACTATTCTTCAGCAGTACATGATTAGAATGTTTTCAACTTTCTGCTATTGCTAGCCACCATGGTGTGATTCAATAAAGTTCAGTTCTAGGGCACAAAAGGAGTTTCTGAGTTGTAATGGTATCTTAGGTTTGTATGGTGTTGGACAGCTGAATAGCACAGATGGCACATCTTTTTACCATACTCCATGTAACAGGAAGCAGACATTAGTTTATTCTTCTACATTGTTTTTTGATTGGGCATCATTGGGGCTGGGTTTGCCTGAACCACAATGGGGCATGAGAGACTTTAGAGCCTTAGTAGGCTCTAGGGGAAATCACCTCCATTTGCAGATAGCTCCAGAGCATGGAGCATCTCTGGAAGAAATATCAGTAGCTGGATGATCATTCAGAAAGTTAACAGTGTAAGGGTCACTTTGAGATAATTTTGTGGGACTTGTAAAATCTATGTTTATTTAATTTCTATGCATATAGAATCATAGTCAGCTGCGTAATGTTGGTCAAAATCAGTTTTCCTAGCTGAATTTCTTTTGTTCCTTTGATGAAAAGTTGACCTTATTTTTCTGCTTTTGTTCTTGCCTTTTTTCTCTCCATCAGCTTTATTCATTCACAAATGAATGAATGTACATTGCTTGTTGTTGTATCTTTTGTGATAAATATAGAAGTCACATTATGTCAACATATGTACTGTTTCTTGTAATCCCATTGAGCATTCTTAGTGTTTCCATTGTGCATGTAGCTTTGCAATCAGCTTTCCTGTTACAAATTGTTGGGCATTGTTTTTGGATTGTATTTGATTCATGTTATAAATTAACCATAAACAACATCTTAATATTGATAAATCGTGTTCCCAAGGATGATTCATTTAGGTTTTATTGTAGTTGTAAATCTGTGAAAGACTTTTAGATTATTGGATAAAATGTAGTATGGGGCTTGGTAGGTCACTCAACACAAATTCTTGGGGATGACCTGAGTTCAGATCCCAGCACCCAAATCAGGAGGCTCATAACCTGCTACTCTAGGTTAGAGGATCTGATAGCCTCTTTTCTGGAGTGTCACCTGTACATAAATGGAAGATGTTCTCTTGAACATACAAACACACATAAAAATTGTGGATAAATTTGCTTTTAAAAGTACTTGTGACTTATAGTGCAATTATAGCAAAACAAGTTGCTTTTGGTGTATAATATAAATCAGTACATTGTTTCTTTAAAAATCTGTCATCTTGTGTTTGGTTTGGAAAATTTTTCCTTTCCTCACTCTGATGCAGACTTACATCTAATCATCCATCATAGGAAAATGATCCTACCTCTTGTGAGCAAGAAGATAGATATGCATAGTTAGTATAACAAAAGTTACATTTTATTATGCTGTTGTTCTTTATACAAGGTTCCCACTGAATTCCCAACCATGATCCTAAGCCTATCTTACCAAGGCTGCTCACCTGTGCAAAGTATCTTAGCTGAAGTCTCTAACAGAAGTCTCTTATTAAAGGGTCAAGATCCTGGGGGAGATGGTCTAACCACAGAACTGATCAAAGTGATCTTTCCACATGTACAGAGCAGAGCATTGTTTCTGCGTATATACTGACCAGTAGTTCTGGGACTGTGTCTGGTTTTCTGGAGTGGGTGATATCACTGGGTTCTGGTAATGTCTTTGTTATAGTGGGGTTCATGACTGTTATTACATGTCTAAAAATCATCTAATGATATGATCATGCATTTTTTTCTTTCAGTTTGTTTATATGATGGATTACATTGACAGATTTGTGTATGATGTGGGATTTCCCTCTGTATGCTGTGAATATGTTTTACTACCATTGGTTAATTCTAGCTGCTTAGGCCTATAGCAGGACCCTAAGAGGAATGCATGGATCTCCCTGGAAAGAGGAAATAGATGACATGTCATGGGTAAATGGGGGGTGGGGATGAGTATTTGCAATGGGATGGGGAATGGGAAAATCAGGGGTCAGGATGGTTGAGTTGGGGGCATGATGGAGTGGGAGGGTAATGAAAGAGATAGCGTGAAAGAGTGGGACATTATAGGGCTATGGTGAAAGCTGGTGCCAGGGAAGTCTCCCAGGAACCCACAAGGATGACCCCAGCGAAGACTCCTGCAATAAGATTGGTGACTACCCTATTGTCTTTTGTGGGAACCCTAGCAGTGGGACCAGATCCTATCCCTGAGGTATGAGCTGGCTCTTTGGAACCTATTCCTTATGGTGGGATGCCTTGTTCAGCCTTGATGCAGCAGTGAGGAGCTTGGTCCTGCCTCAACTTGGTCTGCCATGCTTTGTTGATTCCCGAGGGAGACCTTACCCCATCTTAATGGAGATGGAGGTGGAGTGGATGGTTAGGGAGTAGACGGGAGATGGTGGTGGGAACAGGAGGAGAGGAGGGAGGGGAATCTGTTGGTATGTAAAATAAAATAAAGAAAAAATGTCTGTGGGTTATAGATAAAAACAGCAGTAGGTAGTTTCAGATGGCAGTCAAGTGCTGAACAGATTGGAATTTTTAGGAAGCTTGTCACCAGTAAAGAGAAGGCCCTTGCTCTTCATTAGAAGCTTTGCAAAGTACCCAAAGGGCAATAATCCATCTTTCTGTGCCATTGGTTAACGGAAGGTTTAGGCAAAGTGACTTCTAGTTCCAGGAAGCAACTTCATACAATGCCTGCTCCAACTCTGGACCAATCATGGTAGGGTTCATCACAACTTAGCAGCGAAATTTGGGCGAGTCATCAATGTTGTACTGGTTCTGGAAACAAGAACCAGTTGCTAGCCTGAGGTTGTTTTTTTTTTTTTTTTTAAGTTTTGTTGTTTTCATTTTTTATTTCTGATAAAAATTGCCTGTATACATGGGTATGCCCCACATGTGTGCCTGGTCTTTGCAGTAGTCAAAAAGAGGCCCTGAGCTTGGAATGATGGATAGTTGAAAGTACTGGCAATTAAACACACTTAAATGCACACTTAAATGCAAGACCAGGAAGGGCTCTTAACTTTTTAGCTATCTCTTCTGCTCTGTGTTGATTATTTGTGATCAGCATTTATGTTGCAAACATTTTCATCTGTCTATTTGTAACTGTTTAAATGCACAGTTCCTTTTATTAAGATTTATTAAAGTTACAGTTTAAACTAGAGCACTTTAGGTTTCTGGAAAATGAATACAGATCTGGAGTGAATGCATAACTTTGTAGAAACTTCAATAAAACAAACTCTGAGTTCTTTCAATCTTTTTTGTTTGATTGATTTAACAGATACTTAATAGTTACTTCTTGCTGTCCTGAATTTGTTTGCATAGACTAGGCTATCATTCACTTCAGAGGCAGGTATATCTGTCTCTGCCTTCTGATTTCTGGGATTAAAGTCATGAGTCAAAACACCCAGCCTGCTCATATTTTTTATAGTTAGTAATTGTTCATACAATTTCTCTGATATGTACTCCATACTGTTGATCTGCTTGCTTGTCTCTCTATGTTAGTATGTATTTTTCTTGCAAGGTGATGTCCCATTCAGAGCATTCAGAAATCACAGAGGTAAACCTATTCAGTTTCATTCTAAAGTGAATTGATGATTATATTACATGTCTGTGTCCTAGAAAAAGTGTGGGAAACACCAGAATTATATGACTATTTGTATAGTCATATAATGTATATATATATATAATAGTGTCAAAGAAGTATACATTTATAATGCTGTCAGTATGTTTTTTGTTGTATGCATGTACGGCATATTTTAGGATACAGTGACCTATAATGATGTCCATGTCGACTTCACTCGGGAAGAGTGGGCTTTGCTTGACCATTCCCAGAAGAATCTCTACAAAGATGTGATGCTGGAGACTTATATGAACCTCACTGCTATAGGTAATACTGTGAATTTTCCTTCATGTATTGAAATAAAGAGACAACTGTTTCTTTGCTATTGCTACTCTTCTGTATTTTTTTTTTTATTGAGAATGAGGAAGAATGAGGTTAATAAATCAGGCATGGTTCTAAGGATCACTGAAGATAGTAACTTAAATTTTACACAATTTCCAATAATATATCATACATTTTCTGGCACTGTATTTTAGGCTACAACTGGCAAGATCATAATATTGAAGAACATTGTCACAGTTCTCAAAGACATAAAAGGTAATTTTAATGTGTAAGTAGATGCAAATGTGCCTCTGAAGATATTTTAAAAGTATCTGTAAGTTTTCAAGAAAAGCCAGTGGTGTAAATGTTTACAACTTAAAATGCATTGATGATTATTAAATTATCCAAAACCATATACTTCAATGGCAGGTGATTGAATTATGTCTGTAAGTCATACTTTTAAGAAGGAAGACAAGGAATCAATGCCTTAACAGATATCACCATTTGAATCATTCTTTGCTCCATCAGATCCATGCTGTAAAATAGTCAATCCATTTAGTTTCATGCCACTCATATCACAAAAGATATACTCATTGAATAGTTGATAAGTATATGTTGAAAGCCTTCTAATAAGCAAGTAGGCCATAGTAAAACTAGTGTTATTCATATAGTTGTTCTGACTTTGCTAAGTTTAATTAGATGGATAGGTAGTTAGAGTCAAAAGCTAGGGGGAGTTTTGGAGAAACCTTAATCCCTATGCCATATGTCTATGTGAAACAGAAAGTCAAATGTGTGAATGCAATGTGGAAACTTTTTATTTGTTATTCTTTCTTTAATAGGTATGTTATATGTCACTCTGGAATTGAGCCATATTAATATAGGGATCTGAAATGGAGCAATGTACCTCTCTCCATCTGAGAACAATTAGAAGATATGTAGTTGTCCCCATGTTGAATAAATTTGTTGAATGTGAATTGGGTTTATAAGCAGTTGGTTTTCCATCTACATTGGTAATACATCAACAAACTGATAAAACAGGAAAGCCCAATAAGTACTAGAAATGTGTAAATACTTCTGTTTGTCCTAGTTCACTTTGCAAATGTAGTATGACTCACAATATAGGAAAATTTATAAATGGAATAAGTGGGGTAAAGGTCTGAATTCTTCCAGTTCTTATCAAATATGTGAAAAATCTCATAGAGAAAAAGATGCCATAAATGTGAGCCAGGTAATAAAGACTCTTAACATAACGGGCATCTTTAATGTGTAAAATAAGTCTCAATGAAAGAGAACAGCATTAGTGTAAACCAATCATAAAAACTTAAGTTCTAATTACTGTTTACAATTAGACCAAATAGTAAAATTGATTCATACAAATATAAAGATTCAGCATTGTTATGAAGGTGGTAAAACTTTTACATGTGCCAATTTTCTTTGCAGGCTCAAAAGAAGTCATTCTGGAGAGAAACCTGAATATACTCAATGTGTTAAAACCTTTGCATATCACAGTAATCTTCAAAGGCATCAAAGAATTTATACTGGAGAGAACCACTATGAAGGTATTCAGTATGGTGAAGCCTTTGGATGTCAGAGTAGTCTCCTAATACATAAAGGAACACATACAGGAGAGCAACCCTATGCATGTAATCCATGTGGTAAAGCCTTTGCATGTACTCTCCAAATACATCAAAGAATACATATTGGAGAGAAACCGTATGAATGTAATAAATGTCAGAAAGCCTTTGTATATCACAGTCATCTTCAAATGCATGAAAGAACACATGCTAGAGAGAAACCCTATCAATGCAATCAGTGTGGTAAAGCCTTTGTATATCACAGTGGTCTTAAAATACATAAAAGCACACATACTGGCGAGAAACCCTACAAATGCAACCAATGTGCTAAAGCCTTTGTATATCCTAGTCATCTTCAAAGGCATGAAAAAACACATACTAGAGAGAAACTATATGTATGTAATCAGTGTGGTAAAGCCTTTGCATATCACATTTGTCTTACAATACATAAAAGAACACATACTGGAGAGAAACCCTACAAATGTAATCAATGTGGTAAAACCTTTGCAAATCAGAGTCATCTTCAAATACATGAAAGAACACATACTGGAGAGAAACCCTATGAATGTAATCAATGTGATAAAGCCTTTGCCCAGCACAGTGCTCTTCAAATGCATGTAAGAACGCATACTGGAGAGAAACCGTATGAATGTAATCAATGTGGTAAATCCTTTGCTCATCACAGTACTCTTCAAATACATAAAAGAACTCATACTGGAGAGAAGCCATATGAATGTAATCAATGTGGTAGAGCCTTTGCTCATCATAGTGGTCTTAAAAGGCATAAAAGAACACATACTGGAGAGAAACCTTATGAATGTAATCAATGTGGTAGAGCCTTTGCTCATCACAGTACTCTTCAAATGCATAAAAGAACACACACTGGAGAAAAACCCTATGAATGTAATCAATGTGGTAAAGCCTATATATCTCAACACGGCCTCCAAATGCATGAAAGAACACATACTGGAGAAAAACCATATGAATGTAATCAATGTCGTAAAGCTTTTGCACAACACAGTACTCTTCAAATGCATAAAAGAATACATACTGGAGAGAAACCCTATCAGTGTACTCAGTGTGGTAAAGTCTTTGCATATCATAGTCATCTTCAAATGCATGAAAGAACACATACTGGAGAGAAACCCTATGAATGCAATCAGTGTCATAAAGCCTTTGCACAACACAATACTCTTCAAATGCATAAAAGAACACATACTGGAGAGAAACCCTATGAATGCAATCAATGTGGGAAAGCCTTTGCATATCACAGCAATCTTAAAATACATAAAAAAATACATACTGGAGAGAAATCCTACAAATCAATGTGATAAAACCTTTGAATGTATGAGTAATCTTTGAAATCATAAGAAAAAGTCTTGAAATCATGAACAAAAGTCATACCATAGGGAATCTGAATATAAATGATTTGGTAAGATCTTTAGCAACCACACTTAATTTCTATTACACAAGAGTATTTATTATGGAGAAATCAATGTGACATGTGCCAACAATCTCTTCAAGCATTATAATGTGTACATCCGTAAACTCACATGAACAAAAGGTCTATGAATTTAAATACTTCTCTTCCATTAAATGAAATAAGGATCCAGGTATAAAACTTCATGGACGTGTATTAGTGCCTTTTCTGTTGCTGTGATAAAGCAACATGTTTAAATTTCAAGATTTGTTTTAGTTTTAATTATGCCATGTCACTGTTTCTTTGTGTGGGTATGTTCATGTTCATTCTGGTTCCCAAGGTTTGACCCTTGGAACTGTTCAAACATTATAATGTCCCTCTTTATTTTGTTTTCACCTACAAACTCACATGGACAATAGGCCTATAAATTTTAATGATAAGGTAACCTTTTTTAGATTTCATACTTCTCTTCAATTATATGAGATAATGAATCTAGGTCCATGTATAATGACTATATGGACATGTATTAGTGCCTTTTATGTTGCTGTGATAAAGCAACATGTTTAAGTGAACTTATGTCAGGGTTTAATTTGGCCCTTGGTTCTAGAGAAATACAGGACCACTATGAAAGTGACCTGGAAACAACTGTCAAACATGGCAGTTAAAATAAGAAGCAAAAAATTCACATCAACCTGCAGCATGAAGCAGAAAGGATAAACTGGAAATGGCGTGCATATGTAAAGGCCAACCCCAGTGACATATTTCTTCCAGCAGGGCAGCTTTTCCTAAATCTTCCCATATGATACCACAGATTGAGAATGATTGATTTCACTGACTTCAAGCCAACATGTTTTCTTTCTGTTACATGATCCAATGCATAATGGAGAACAACTCTGTAAACCTTTAGATGCCTCAACACCTGTATTACAGGAATTACAATAGAAAAACATAAGTGAAAATTAGTTTCAGGATTTGTTTTAATTTAATTATGCCATGTCACTGTGTCTTTATGTGGGTATGTGCTTGTGTGTTCTGGTTCCCAAGTAGGTTAGACCTTTGTAGCTTCTTGTAGCAGTAATTATTGAAAGTTGTCAAAACCTGACCTTGGTCCTGGGAATGAACTTGTATTAAGGGCTTGATGATGTCTCTAGCTCTGTAACTATTTTAAAGCTTTCTTTCTATCATCTTGATATCAGTAAATAGGGAGCAATTCATACAAGAGAGAAACCTTATTCATGTAAACAAATTTGTAAAGACTTTTGACATCACAGTTGTCTTAATTTCAAGGAAAAAAACTTTTTTCATCTCTTTTTCATTGTAGCCTTGAAGTAAATAATTCATCAAGTTCAGTAAAGACTTATGTGAGGATCACATTGTGGCTTCTATTTTGCTATTTGGGAGGTAGATATAAAAGTGTACTATATGTGTAGCAAATCCATTTAATGAATTTTGTAGCACAAGTTCTAATAGGCATTAGTAGTAAAGGCCCAGGAAAAGATAGAAGGAAAAAATACTAGATTGAAACCCTATGAACATAATGAATATGGCAAAGCCTTTTTACATCACAGTCATCTTCAGATACAGAAAAGAAAACATACTGGAGAGAAGGCCTATGAATGTAATCAGTGTGGTAAAGTCTGCATGTCACAGTCATCTACAAGTACATAAAAGAAGCCATACTGGAGAGAAGCCCTATGAATGTAATCAGTGTGGAAAAGCCTTTGCATGGCAGAGTAATCTCCGAATACATGAAAGAAGCCATACTGGAGAGAAGCCCTATGAATGTAATCAGTGTTGAAAAGCCTTTGCATGCCATTGTCATCTCCAAGTACATAAAAGAACGCATACTGGAAAGAAATCTAATGAATGTAATTAGTGTGATAAAGCCTTTGCTTTGCTTATAGCATAGTTATTTTGAAGGTGCCTCAATGCCTGTGTTATAGTAATGAATGCTTATAAGAGAGAAACTTTTATGTGTAAAAAACTGTTTGTTTCAAGAGTTGTTTTAATTGTAATTATGTGATGTCATATGTTTGTGTGGGTACGTAAATTTTTCATGTTGGCTTCTGAGAATATTCAACCCTAGGATCTTCTTGTAGCAAGAATTACAGGGGGCTGGAGAGATGGCTCAGCGGTTAAGAGCATTGCCTGCTCTTCCAAAGGTCCTGAGTTCAATTCCCAGCAACCACATGGTGGCTCACAACCATCTGTAATGAGGTCTGGTGCCCTCTTCTGGCCTGCAGGCATACACACAGGAAGAATATTGTATACATAATAAATAAATAAATAAATAAATAAATAAATAAATAAATATTTAAAAAAAAGAATTACAGGAAGTTGTCAAAAATTAGGCCTTGGTCCTAGGAATTGTCCAGACATGTTTCTAGTGCTGTAAATATTTTAAAGTCTATTTGTATCATGTTGAAGTCAAGAAATACAGATAAACTCATATGAGAGAAAAACTCTATTCCTGAAAATGATTTTGTAAAGACATTATACATCACATTTGTCTTCAGCTTCAAGAAAAAAAAAACATGTTTCATTTATTTTTTTTTGTAATAGCCTTGAAGGAAGTAAATTACTTACCATGTTCACTGAAGACTGATGTTAGAGATCACTTCATTGTGGTTTCTACTTTGAAACATTTGAAATGAAACATACTAAAATGTGCTTCATGTGTGACAAATTCATTTCTTGCCTCTAAGACTTTCTAGAAATTAGAAAAATCATAAATCTTTCTTTATCAAGAGTTGCTGTTTGAGTTTGTCTTCAGAATATCTGAACTATGAGGGAAAGGGTGAAGGAACACACACACAAGGGACACCATATTTTTGAAGAGGAACAAGAAGTGCTCTGAGAGACTGGAAGAGTTTCTACTAAAATACCAATTTTCCAGACTAGAGCCCTGTGTTTCCCTAGGGTGGAATGGCAGAGCTGGGAAGGGCTGTGCTGGCTTAGTAATTTGATTTATGCTCATCCAGTAAGGGAATTGCTACTGTCTTTAGGCTCAGCTGGGCAATTCTAGCTTTTGAGCTATTGGGTACTGAAGACCAATGCAGGTTGCAAAAATTAATCTTTCTGTGTTGTCAAGGCCAGTTGAGCATCTAGTCTTTAGAGGTCACTTGTGCTTGGAAGGAATCTCAGATTCAAGTCTCTCTATTATCAATTGTCCATCAATGTGAGGATAAGACAAAAGCTTTGCTTTATGTGTTGTGGTTTTCTTTGAAACCTTGATGAAATATTTCCCACATTGATCCTCCTTTTGTAGACTTGATAAAGATTCCAATTCATTGATTGGATTATCCATGGCTTCCATGAACAGGACAATAAATGATCAATAATTAGCCTTTGCACCCAGGGACCTCACTGACCTTGTATAGAAATGAGAGAAATATTTCCCCTTTTGGTCCCTCTAATGACATTAGAATATCCTCTAAGAATGATTATTAAACACCTAGAAGATCAGTTTTATACTAGTTTTGTACTTTTAACTACTTTATAAGACTTCAATAGTCAGACACAACTCAATGTACTTTGTTTGACATACCTTTTAGCCGATTTTTGAAATAGTTGGATTATGACCTTGCAAACTTTAATAAATATGTAATCCCTAGGTCTCATCCTTATGTACCTTAAACAACTTACTCAACATTCATAGAGTGTAAAACTTTTCCAGTCTTCTTTATCCTGGAGCCATCCAGTCATAATCATGTTCATATATCTAAGTCCTTTTTTACTATGGTCATTTACACACTTATATTCTTCTAACATGTTTTTTATGTACTGCTTCCTTTTACTAATACCATGAGAAGTAGGAACATTAACAAATATGTTTATGATCTGTTGTGAGAATTTTTTCTCCTGTGAAGGGGGAGGAAGCAATTTCTATCCTATAACCATAAGCCCCAATGAAGATACAAAGTACAATATCACCAAAGTCCATCCTGGGGATCCAGTGAGTTTATTGAGCTTACTTACTGAGCATGGTCAAAAAGGTACTTACAAGGGTTTTGATTCTGTGGTTGTTTGAATCAAAATGACCCCCAAAGTCCCATGGAGAGTTGCACTATTAGGAGGTTTGGCCTTGTTGAAGTATGTCATAATTACTTTCTGCTGCCTGCTGATCTGGATGTAGACACACAGCTCTTTCTCCAGCACCATTTCTGCTTGCATTCACCACACTTTCTGTTATGCTGATAATGGACTAAATCCTCTGAAACTGTAAGCCAGGCCCAATCAAATGTTTTCCTTTATAAATGTTGCTGTGGTCATGGTGTCTCTTCACAGCAATAGAAGCTCTAACTAAGATGCCCAAAAGCAGCCACAAGGCATGTCTCCATCCAGTATGTACAGTGGCTCTCCCATAGTTGCATATGTGGAGCTTACCTTCTCTCTACTCTTCCACTGCCCATATACTCTCCATTACAATATATTTCTCAGTGGACATAGGATGTAAACCTGATAGCACTCAAGGTAAATTCCCACTTTCAAAGACAGCTTTCTAATAGGTGCTGACACAGAATCTAGATCCACCCAAGTCTTTCCCTGGCTATGTACTCTAGCTCATTCTTAAAACCACAAGGTCACTTGTCATTAGGGATGAATTGCATACAGTTGCCTGGAAAAGAGGCTGTGCACTCAGATCAAATGGGATACTTTTTTATGATGGAATATCAACAGTCAGCAAACCTGGTGGTGGTCATCCTTTGTTAGCATCCACGGGTGATCATGGGAAGGTACCAATTGTTTGCCTTAAGATGGTGCTGAGCAACAACAAATAAAACTGAATAGAAACTGTATATGATAATGTAATAAATTTGTATTTCCTAGGTATAAAGTGTTCAACTAAACCTTAGATAATAAAACACAAGACATTCATATGATACATGGCATCACTACTATAACCATGCTTTTTGGCTTTAATGTAAGTATGTAGTTGATACCAAGAAACAGTAAATACATAACAAAATATCATGTAATTGATGTTTAGAGCATCCAGTACAACACAACTAAGAAATCCCTCTTAAAACTATGCCGCTGGCTTCATGCCTAAAGCCTCCCTCTATAGTACCTTGTGTGCACAGATCTCCAGTAGACCTCATCAAAATCTCATATCACCTCCTAGCACACATTGATTTGTCCACGTTCTAGCC